GCGAACACTTTCGGCGGTGGAGACAGCAGCAGGAGCGAGACCGGTTCTCGGTGGCGTTAAATCGTCCAGGGCTTGCCATATCGATCTCGGCTTCTAAAGAAACGAGCGACACCACGAGCAGCAGCTCGCATTTGCCACTTCTTAACCAAGAATAAAAAAATAAAAGGAGTCATAACTTCATCTTCTAATTGTAACAGCTTTTCCCACCCGGCAGAAGAAAACGATCTGTTGGCAGATCTGGCTGTTAACCAAACAGGAAACATGAAAACTGGGCCTCCTGCCTCAAAAGAGACCGGCTCACCGTTTGCCTAGTTCAGGCAGGAGAAAGGCACAGAATAGACGCTTCAAAACAAGATTCCCACCTGAAACACAGCAATTGCTGCAATGCTTCTGTAATTGGTTTTTAGCTTTCTGCCATAAATTACCAGTCAGAAATTCCTGGATTCTTGTGGGCCTGTTTATGAGCCCCACCTTGCCAGGAAGAAGCAGGAGTTCCTGCATAATGCTGAGCTACAGTTGGCTGAACCATGAGGGATGGCTTCCCATATTTTCAAGCAGTTGAATTGGGACAAAGATGATGATTCAGCAGGCATGTGCTGGCAAAGTGGGCTTTCGCATGCTTTCAGTCCTTGGTATTCCTTTGCTTGTGCAGGCAAAGGGAGAATGAGCTGAGAGAACTAAACCTGGGGATCTGTGCTTCCCTGTTTTCTGAGACTTTTCTCTAAACTGGTGTGATGGCAGGTACTGGAGTCCACATCACGCTGTATGACTAGCCTTATTGAATAAACTGCAACTGGCTGGGTTCACACAACATGCTATGTCAGAATCAAATTAACTTTTTCACAGTTCAGCACAGTCTGTGAACACAATAGGCAACACAGGCCATGGAACTATTAAATCTACTCTGGCAGTAGTTGTTTAGTATCCCAATACCTGGTCTTTTTGACTGCCTGATAGGCGTGCCTCTTCTACTTGTCTGTGGTCTGTGCCCTGCAAAAGTTGTAATCATGGTTAGTAAACAAAGTGAGCTTGTATAATAATGATACTTCACTGCAATTTTCACATTAAGTTGGTTGCCATTATTGCCCTGCTATGTGTGATTTTACCAGAATACATGTAAAAAAGCAGAAAAAAATCTCAGTATGATTTCAGATGACCGACCAAGTCCTCTCCAAATCCCCCCTATGGTGTTCTCCACAAATTCAAAGGTTTTGTTCTTTTAGAAATTGGATGACAAATCGATCAGTCCTCCCTGACATAAAGAGTAAGAAGTAAGTGTGGTTTTCCATTGCAGAGATACCAAGATTATTTTCAAAGATGTAAATCCCCAGGGTGCATTCTGTATGACAAATTGGAAAGGCAGCCTATCTAATTACAATTAGCTCATATGATATTTTTTTTAAAAAAATGTTTCCAAGTATTGCTGAAAAATGAGCCAAAAAGGCTGAACGGTGCAACCAAGATGGTTCTTCTCCAGAAAGGCACAATGTGATCATTATTTGAATTAGGGCAATGTATATTATGGCAGACCCCTTTCTTGCTCTACCTGGGACCCCCAGTGGTAATTGTTGAAACTTGGCAGCAGGATTTCCTATAAATTTGTAGCAGTAAATACTGCAAAACAAGTCTAACAGTTTAAAAAAAAAAATCAAAACTCTGAAAGTCCTCCAGAAAAACAGGAGAAAAGTAGAAATCCTGACCCTGCCTTTATGTGTGAGCTGTGATTATGAAAAGATTGCATGTCAGAATTTTAGCAACTAGACACTTCCCATTAGCTATAAATAAGGTTGCATGGTGTTGCAGGGAAACAGAAGGGAGATGCATTCTAAACCATGCCTTCAGATATACATCAGGAAAAAAAAATGCATTTATATGATTTATAAATCACCTCATGCCACAGTTTAGGCAGTGTCCAAAATCAAACAGTGATAATAAAAACAAGCTATAAGCACATCAGTCAATAGAAACATGGAACTTCCTTTATCTGCTTAATCACTAAAAGCTTTCTAGAAAAACAAGATTTTAACTGTTCTCTAGAACAGTGTTTCTCAACTTTGGGAACTTTAAGAACGTGTGGACTTCAACTCCCAGAATTCCCTGCCCAGCTGGTTGGGAATTCTTGGAGTTGAAATCCACCCATCTTAAAGTAGCCAAGGTTGAGAAACATGGCTTAGAAGGCCATAAGGGTAGAGGTCATTCTTGCTTCAGGGGCAGGCTGTTCCAAAGGAACACAGGAACCAGGTGATGATGTGAGTCAAGAGTTCCACCAATGGAAAATAGAGTAACCTTACTATGCAACAAACTCAAAATTTGTTCTAGTTTCAAACAGACCACTGAGAACAAAAATTATCCAGCTCTCAAAACCAGGTAATGTTATGTGATAAGATAAATCCAAAGCCAGTTTCAAACTTATACAGAGCCCTCATGTGGAAATGACTTGAGATTAGCAAAAATAATGATGAATGATTTGGAAATCTGAAGCCAGAATAATAAAACCCAAATTGTACTTTCAAACACCACTGTAGTGCTATCAAATGAAGATTGATTTTCCAGTCTAAATTGCTGAATGCACCCAGTAAAGATTACCAGTAGGTTTCATGTTTTCTTCACAGTTCATATGAATTGAACCAACTCTTGATTTCAGTTACCATTTCAATTATTCCACGTGATTGTAAGCTTGAAATATCAAAACCTGAAAATGTAAGAAAATTAAATAAACCATAAAGGCTTTAATTTATATCATAATTTGTAAATTTGTATAACTTTTGAAGAACAGGTTTCAAAAGCTTTGTATCTGATAGTGTAATGGCATGACACTTTTTATCCAAATTTTTATGCCAAATATATCCATTATGCTAAGAAAAAGTTTCAGTTGCTTCAGCTCCCTTGAGTACCAGTGAACTTAATTTTTTGTACTGACAACTGATAGAAGGAGGCACTGAGTTCTACTGCACTGAAAGGTCTGCAACAGGCCCTTCTGGCACTCCCATGACAGCAACTGTACACTGGGAATAGGTTGTTAGAAACAGCAAAAACTGTTTATAAAGTATGTGCACATTTCATTGCTTAGGTCTCACTTTAGGTATCAATTCAAACAAGGACTTTGTCCATTCAACAGAGTATGTCATGGCTTCTCTTCCAGTATCATCAGGTTACAGCTTCCATTTTCATGTAGAAAAATGGAAATGTAGCGGTTAGGAGCATCCGTTGGAAATCCCTAGTTAAATCTCAGTCAGTATTAATTCAGCAATTTTAGGCAAGGCTCAGTTTCTTTGTCTTAATACTTTATTCCTTACCTCCATGTTGCATGATGTACAGTACTAACCAATATTGTAGTGTTGTGTGGATTACTAAACTAATGTACACAAAACACTTGGAACAACCTGGAAAAATGGTTACGTATTAAATAATAATTCCATGCCAAAAACATTTCCCCTGCATCCTTTTCATAACCCTTTAAAACTTATTTGAGGGGTGGGGGGGTTTAGTCTAGAATCTCATTGGCTTTCCAGGCTTCCTAATCTAAAAAAGCCCCTTGAGAAAATTTCCCATATCATATTTTGTTTTGCATTTTAATTAAACTATGGGAAGCAGATATATCTGCAAGGAAGAAGTCAAAGATGGTATGCACAATCATGCAATCAGTGGTCCCTGTTTTGTGTCCATGTGATATGTGTGACACATTTTAAAAAGGAGTAGGACTTTGATCACCTGGTCATTCCTGCCATTTTGACCTTTTTGATCCTTGTGGATAACCTGGTGGGAAGCCAGGAGGCTGAAGTTGACTGGACTGATAATTGTATAATGAAAGGCAGGAGATTCATTCACACACTTCAGCTACCTGTTAGTACAAGAATTGCAAATCTTATCTATCTGAAATTCCTTTTGTTTCTTATAAAACACTTTCTTTTCTATCAAATTAATTGAGAATGATTGAAAAAAAGTCAGATTTTTTTTTTTTTTGGCAGAACTTACAGAGCTGAATAATATCCCCACTAAATTGGATGAGGAAATGCTATGTCTGAAGCCTTGAGGTCCTGGAGCAAAAGTAGGATATAAGAATAAATAAATAAATTATTGCACAGGGTACTCTGCAGTGATTGAACATCCTTGCATGGAATGACTGTGAAATGAGGGTTTCTTTGATCAGGATTTTTTAACAAGTTATCCTTCATCCAATCTATACATACTCACATGAAGAAGATTTAATCAATTCTTTTTGAGTTGTGAAATAACACTGTAAACCATCTGTCGCTTAGCTCACTTCAAATAAACATAAGGGTTGAATGAAAACTAATGTCTCTACCTCCATCTATAACTTTACTTTAAATAGTGATATTTTAACAAAATATCCTTGAAACTAACAAAATATCCAGGAAACTAATCCTTAAAATGAGCTCTTTTGTTACCTGTATTTATTTATCCACGTAATCACTACCCTTCGCTGCACATTTCTCCTTAAAGCTATTGTGAAAGAAATCCACACTTTGTCTCTTTAACCAGATCATGATGGTCTTTTACAGCTCTTCATCTGAGTCAAATAGATACCCACAAAGGTATTCTTCAAACTTGGGAACAGGTGGCAGTCACATGGCACCAAATCTGAATGACAGATGGAGTAAGAAG